CCTCCCATTCTACTTTTAGAAATTCTAGGTGGTTGTTGCTTAGAATAAAAGACCAAATATCTGCTATTTTGTTTTATTAATTCATGAAAATCTCCTGGAAGGGTGTCCTCACCCATGAATGTTAAATTGTCGGCCTGTTTTTGGGGTAAAAAGTTCGGTTTAGACTCAGAGAGTCAGGAATGTCGACGTAAACATTGAAACATCAGTAACCATCTCACTGTGGCGGCGTAGGTAGGTACCGCTGTGGCGTCTGATTGCTTAAAGCGTGTGTGCCAAATCCCATTGGCTGATTTCTTTATTTTTTTACTTCCTATTTGCTGTTTATTTGCAAGATTGAATCATTACAGATGAATTAAAGTGGGCAGAAAATTGTGACATAACCACTTTATTACCAAACGTCTCCTGTCAGAATATGTGGGACCGGCAGGTGACCCCATGTAGAAAACTGTGGACCATCCAGTCCATCTGGTCTGCTTTTATCGGATAACTGTTTCCATTTATAGAAATGGCCAAAAACGCAGTCACATGGTGTTTCATCCACACGCATTTCAAATGGGGCTTTAAAATTTCTAAAACATGTTTCTAAATTATTTCTAACAAGTTTGTTTTTATAGCTGTGTAAACAATTAAAATGAGATTTAAAATTCCACCCAAAAGGTATTCATTTTAGCCCCGCCCCCTAATGGTTGCCATCATTGGAAACTAGAGGCTCAGATCTTTCCAAGGAGGGGTCAGAGGTCACTGTGAGACCATTTCAGGTGATGTAACCGGCATGCGTTACATCAGCTGCTCTGTTATTCTTATTTTCAATTCAGTTTGGTATTATTGGTAAATTTTAATGAAACAACAGCTAAATCTTAGGAGCAAAGGCTTTTATCTTATGCAGAAGGTCTCCAATAATGGAAATCAGGATATTTGCCTGTTCAGATTCCCTTTTATGAGTGAAAAAAAATGCATTTTTGCACATTTGGCATCACTTTACTAAAATCCCATTTCCTCCTAACACACTGCCCACTAAACCCTCTATGGAACAAACAGCCTTCAGCTTATTAAGTCCAAATTTGCTTGGGTTATAGTCAAGATGTGGATCTATAAAGTCTGAGGTTCATCCAGAGTTTCAAATGGGCTTTCATGGTGTTTTACAGCGTTTATTTTTCTTTGTTTAATCACCTAAAACAGGGTTCCCGCAAGCCCTTAAAAAGTCTTGAATTTAACTCTCCTTATGCTGTAGGAACCCTGTGTAAATCAGACATGGCTACATTTAAAATAGTGGTTCCACCTGAAAGATGCCGTTCTATCAGACAAATAAAAAACACCAGTATTTCCAATTTATAGTTTAGGAGCTGGACTTGCTTTAATCCACATGTGGAATTTCTTCTAAGACCCTCTGGGTTTAAGGGATTAAGAAATCTTCTTATCTCTACATTTGATGCCAAACGATTCAGGTTCTAGTTTCCATCAGCAGGGGGCGTAGTTGTGCAGTCAGACTGTCTAAAAAGCCAATAGAAATGTTGCATTGTGGGAAAGCAAACATTTAGAGGCGGTTGTTAGGTAGTTCCGCCTCATCAACACAAGGTGGCGGTAAAAGCCAACTCATCACTCCTGCAGATTTCTGTATTTTTAACAGATGGATTCAAATTAAAGCCTTGTTGGCATCCAAGTTAAAGTGGATAAATTAATTATTTAATCCTCGGTTGTGTTTTTTTTTTAAATTATCTTTCGTTTTATTGAACGGCTCATGACACCAGAGCTTTCAGACTGGCGAGACTCGTTGTGACGCTCCGCCCAGTTCGTTTGATCCAGGAAACGTTCATCCTCCTCGTTCATGAGCTGCAGCTATTAATACCAGCGCCACACCGACGCACACATTCCCTCTCAGTTAGTCGCTTCCTTTTTCCTGCTCTCCCATTGTTCCTCTGCTTCGGCTCCACAATCGCAGGGAAACATGGAACCTGGACTCGTTTCATGTTTTTTCTCCTCTTATCCAGGGATATGCGACCTTCGGCTCTTTGTGACGCCCGACGTGGCTGAAATGATAGGGAACCAGTTCATGTTTGTAAATATGAAGAAATGCTGCAGGTTAAAGGATTTCTGGTAAAGATTCTCAGTCATACAGGTCATATTCATTTAAAAAAAAGTAAAAAGAACAATCCACTGGACATCGCTGGAGTATTAAGACTCTAAAACACTGCAAAAACGATCTCAAAATGAGTAAAAATGTCTCAAATTAAGTGTATTTACCCTTAATTTGAGCAGGTTAATAGGATGATTTGCCAATGGAATGAGTATTTTTACTCTTAAAATAAGCTATCTAGATATTATGCACTTGAAATAAGACAATGCAATTATTTTAAGTATAAATCGTCTTGTTCCATTGGCAAAATGTCTCACTTCAATCCTTATTTCAAGAAAAAATGCACTTATTAAGAAAAAAGGACTTATTTATGTTTTATTTATTTGCAGTGAACATGCTTTAGCTGACAGACGACCCACTACACTGCAAAAACCATCTAGAAATAAGTACAAAATTTCTTAAAATAAGTGTATTTACCCTTAATTTTAGTAGGTAAATAAGATGATTTGCCAATGAAAT